CGTGGTGACATGATGCGACGGTGCAAGGAGCTGGGGATATCGTGTGCCGAATGGGCGAGTCGCTGCCCGCCCGACGCAGCAGCCATCGTGTTCGTAACGCCCGAATCGGCGGTGGGAGAAGCGTTTGCGACGTTTTTGAACCGGCTGCGAGCGACGCGGCAGCTGGACCGTATCGTGATCGACGAGTGCCACATTGTATTGAACTGTCGATACACATTCCGCAAGCAGATGCAACAGCTCGGCAGGCTGGCAGCAGCCGAGACGCAGATGGTGCTGTTGACAGCAACGTTGCCGCCGACGGAAGAGGACGAGCTGTATCGACGAATGCATTACGAGCGGAAGCAGGTCAAGATGTTCAGACAACCAACCACCAGGACGAACGTGGCGTATCAGACCATCAAGATCAGCTAGTCTGCGAAGAAGAAGGACGTTGAGTCAATGGTCGTTAAGACAGTGCGGCAGAAGATGCAGAAGTATAGGACAGGTAAGCTCATCGTGTACGGCAACTCAAAGCCAAAGGTGAAGGCGTTGGCAGAGCAATTGGATTGTCACGCGTATCACGCGGATGCCGTGGGCAAGCCAACCATGTTGGCGGACTTCATGGCAGGCAAGCAGCGCGTGATCGTAGCAACGAGCGCGTTGGGCATGGGCGTGGACATACTGGATGTACGGTGCATCATTCACATCGATTGGCCGTTCACCATGTTGGATTACGCACAAGAGAGCGGCAGGGCAGGCCAGGACAGGTTGCGAAGCGAGGCGGTTTTGATAGTTCAGGATAGGAAACAACGCACCAACAACAACAGGACAGAAGCCGAGCGGCAGATGGTGAGGGAGTATGTGGAAGGTGGCGAGAGCGGGGCGGTTAGCTGCAGGAGGGAAGTGTTGGACAGGTATTTAGATGGGAGGAAGGATCGAGCAGGGTGTAGAGAGGAGGACAACAAGGAGATGTGCGACGTGTGCCAAGGGATAGACGGGCAGTTAGAAGAGGTGGTGGAGGAAGAAACAGAGGAAGGGAGCGGGACAGAGAACAACAATAGAGAAGAGATGGACGTCGTCGAAGCCGAACAAGAAGAGATGCAGCGGGTATATCGACAGCAGGAGCAGGCGCGTCGGGGGCCGTGGCAGACGTTGACGGAGCATCGACAGCAAGAGTTTGCCGATATGGAGTGGGTGCGCAGGCAGTTGGCGTGGTGGGCGAATCAATGCGGGATTTGCGAGGGAGCGGGCGACGCGCAGAGCGGACACGACATACAGCAGTGTTGGAGGGCAGAAAGCAAAACAGCAAAGGAGATGGTACAGAGGATTAATGATCAAGTTTGGTTCTGCATGTTTTCAGGCTGTTTCCTGTGCAGTAGCGTGCCACAGGAGATTTGCAATAGCTAGGAACTAAATAGGGAGGGGCGATATTAACAAGTAGAGGATAGAACTTGTCAGTACACTGGGGTATTAAGCGCAGGATTAATAGGCATAGTATTTAGTTACACAGAGGCAAACGCCCAATAGCAGGCCTAATTAGCGGACCTTGGGGTGGACGACGCAGGACTGGGTAGGATGTTAATTAAATATTTAGGGAAGAAGCAGCTGTTAGATAACGTGGAGAGCAATAATTTAGTTAAGGAATTTTGTTGGATTACGCGGTTGTTAGCTGAGTAGATGCAGTAGTAGCAAATGAAAGGATTTTCTGCTCACGATTTATAGAAGCGGTGCAGCTGAGTTAGGTTCAGGCTGGGACAGGGACAGGGGACAGGGGACTCTAAACAACTTGAGTAGTTAAGTTAAAGGGTGGGCGGTGGGCCCTCCAGGTGTCACAAAGAAGCGGAGCGCAGTGGTAAAGAAGAAAGGGGTGGGCGGTTGGC